CCAAACTTTAATTACTGTGAATGTTGTAAGCACTCTAAATGAATTCAGAATTCGCTGTTGCAGGAATTAAAAACCAAGATAAACTCTTAGCGTTTCCCCTAAACTTAGCATGCTTTCTGCTACCTCCAAGATCTTTCCTCTGGAACACTTCCCAAAGCCCCTCATTTCCTTCACCTGGTCGGTTCTACATTGAGACATGGGCGTCAACAACACTTACTCCAAATGACTTCTCTGACCCACCCCAAATCAAAAGAAAAAAAAGAAAGAAAAGCAAAGAAAACGTTTTGGTGTTCCTCTTAGGTAGAGCCTTAGGGTACTCATGCCGTCCAGATAGAGAACACGTATGTTTCTCGTTGCAAAAGGGCTTTACCTTTTTTCATCTTTAATACCAGCCCCTATCATAGTATTGTGTGAATAAATCCTAAGGTAGCCAACCTTACCTAATCTAAGGCCCCATTTGAAAGATGCCAAAAGTAGAAACAGGTTGAAGCTGCTTCATCCCTAATGTAAAGCTAAAAACTTGTCTGCGGAATGACTGGTTCCGTTGTCCATCAACTCAATTCAGCTGTTACATGGCACTAAGGGGGATGGAATTGGAAGGTTATGCATTAGTATACTTTCATCCATTCATTTATACTTATCTTCACAGATATTTACTGAGTTCCTATGTGTGCTAACTGCAGGATATACAATACTGAACACAACAGACAGTCCCTGGTCTTAGAATAAGGGTGTGAGCCATTTTGCTATTAGGCATTCACTTGACCTGAGTTCAACAAAATCCAGAGAAATGTAGGAAAGGGGAATGGAACTAGGAAAGTCCAGAAGGCAGGCTGTGATTTTTTTTTTAAAGATTTTATTTTATTTATTTGACAGAGAGAACGCGAGAGAGGGAACACAAGCAGGGGGAGTGAGAGAGGGAGAAGCAGGCTTCCCGCGGAGCAGGGAGCCCGATGCGGGGCTCGATCCCAGGATCCTGGGATCATGACCTGAGCCGAAGGTAGACGCTTAATGACTCAGCCACCCAGGCGCCCCTGTCATATTTTTAATGCAAGTGCATGCTTGAGAGGAGGGAGTACTATAGTGTTAAAAAAAGCTATCCTCGGGCGCCTGGGTGGCTCAGTCGTTAAGCGTCTGCCTTCAGCTCAGGTCATGATCCCAGAATCCTGGGATCGAGTCCCACATCGGGCTCCCTGCTCAG